AAGGAGCACAGTAGTTTTTAAATTTTCAGAATAAAAATCCTCTCTTAGCAAACCTAGGCTGAAAAAAATTAATATCGTACTGTTCAGATTGTTAGCACATCTTTGCATTATTGATAGCATCACAAAAAACCACAAAATTAGATATTGTCTCGAAAAATCATGCTCGCAACCTCTTAACAAACCACTGTTCACCAATTTCCAGTAATTCAAAGCGAAAACGCCCAAATTGATGGAATAAATTCATAGACCTTGTTAAAGTTATCCCAGTCATCAAATCTCAGCTCCTCAAAGCGAGAAATGCGAAAAACCAACAAATCAATATAATCCATCGATGAATTTCCGTGAAGAAGATATCAAATTCGTAATTGGCATATAGTTACCCCATTACACCAACTCCCAGCGCCTTTGGCCAGAAACTGCGAAAAACAATAAATCAATAGAACCGATAGATGAATTTTTAAGAGGATATCAAATTCGTAATTGGCATATCAAGTTATCCCAATACACCAACTCCTTGACGTTCAGCGCCTATGACCAGAAACTGCGAAAAATCAATAAATCAACAGACTCAATCGGTAAATCTTTGAGTGGTTATCATTTTGAAATCAGCATATCAAATTACCCCAGTGTACCAACTCTCTGCTATCTAGGGGGAGAACCGCGAAAAAATCAATAATTCGATAACATCAATCGGTATTTTTCCAGATAATGTGGCCTACGTCCCGCAATGCTCCAAAGTGCATGTATGTGAGTTTGGTCCGGATCGGTTCAGAAACGAAAATTTGTATTCGGAACATACAAACCCACAGACAGACACATAGACATTGTGTTTATATGTGTACATATAGATATATCTGCTACGCAAAGATTATTGTCATGGCAGTTCGTATGTTGCAGTTGAAAGTTCCGTTACTTGAAGCGTTGTTCCAGATTAACATTAACAAATTGGGTGTTGTAGAGCCAGTCCCCAGACCGGCCACCAAAACCATGTGTCCTTCCTCAACAA